TTTACCTACATTTATTATGTATTTTATTTGGAGAAAATTGCAATTGAGGACAAAACAATTGAGAAAACAACAGATTCACTGTCATATAGCAATTCTCAGTCAGAGTCAGGACCATAATAATAATAATTATTATTATTATTATTTTGTTTCTCTTTTTCGACATCGTATTGCCTGTAATGATTTAATGTATTTGTCTAGGGAATCAGCGGATGCCAATAATAGATGTCTTATATTATTTTACAACTTTTTTTTTCTTCATTATATATCTATAAATTAATTAATTAATAAATAGTTTGATTTTTGGATAACAAGAGAAATTGATAATGGTGCACTTTTATGGTTCCTTTTGATGAAAGGTCACATGATCGAACACTGGTGATGGTGTATTGACTCCTTGAACTATTCTAGTTTAAAGAAAATATAGAAAAGATAATACTATGTAATAAAGTCACTACTATTTACCAATTGATATCGACATCTTCATCTCCATCTCATCACTCATCACTATGCCTTGTAATAGTTTAAGATTGTGTTTAGCCCGAAATTCATCCCAATCGACTACATTCTCAATCACATAGTAGTAGGCCTTGTTGAGTCGTTGTACCTTTTCATTCTTTGTTAGACTACGAGATGTCCTGAATATGTTATAACGGTAGGAGAACCTTTAAGTCTGTATTATACTCAGATTAATCTTCGTTCACATCGAACCGGCCCAATTAAAAGACAAAGTATTGATTATATTGATTAATTTTTCATACGAGAAAAGATTTGAACTCCCGAACTCTCTTAAAGATTAAAGTACACAACCACTATCCATTATCAACATGAATCTCTACTTTCTCCTTTGCCTCTCTATTCATTTCAATGAAACGATAATGAAAACTACAAACCCGTTGTAAATCAATTTTTACAATCACGTGCAATAATCAAAGTTAATAATAACACATAGGGTCACACTTGTGTGACACCGTCAATATGCAAATGTAATACTTATATTGAAAAGTGTAATACTAATTAAAAGTAAAGTATCTCTTATATATAAGGAAAACATAATACTTTTGAGAACAAATGTAATATTTGTATATTTTGATGTAAAAGTATTACTTTTTCATCAAAAGTATTATATTTTCCATTGTAAGTAATGTTGGCAAGTGCTTATTACTTATTAAAGAAAATGTAATATTTTTTATGAAAAGTGTAATTTTTCTTCAAAAGTATTACACTTTTTCATATAAGTAATAAACATTTTATTATTGATTTAGTATTACATTTACAAGTATAAATATTATATTTTTATCTTAATCCGGCCCGTTTCACAGACAGACGATCTCACACAAGTTTTTTAAAATTGAAATTTAAAGATTAATAAATATAATAATAAGATAATTCGCAACCAGAAATCCATTAAAATAAAAAAAAATGTTATTAAAATGAATTAATACCCAAAATGGTAATCGACTATATTGGTTTTTCTCAATTTCGTCTTTAATGACTTTAGTGACCTAATATAATTCGTTTTTGCTCAATTTAATCATTCGTTTTTTATGTTTAATGACTTTAATGAATTACTCTTAGACCTGAATCAAATTTTATATTCGCAGGTTTGGGAGTAATCGTAAAAGAAAGAGAAGTTTGACACTTTGCATATCTAGGAGTAAAGAGATGCAAATATTGAAATTACTTAATTGTTCCTCTATTTAACACTAAATAGACGGAAAAACAAACGAATAATTAAATGGAACAAAAATACAAAAGTCTATAACCATATTAAATCACCAAAATCATTTATAACGAAATAAAAATTTATTATAATCGATGACTATTTTAAGTATTATCTATGAAAAAAAATAATCCCTTTTCTGGAACAAATGTGCCAAATGTGGTATTAAGGCAAGTCAGACGATGTTGTCTCTTGTATATTAATTGCATAATAAAAGGTCATGCAGTGACGCATAACGACGAGTCTGTCTAATTTCTGTGTGGTGGTACGTTTTGGAAGCAGTGTACTATCTAAGAAGGAAACACAATTCAAACGCAACTTGATTTGTTTTATTTTTATATTTTTTTATACAAAAACTTGATATTCATCACTATTTTAGGACAGACAAAAAGTTTCAACTGCCACAAAGATTTTTACTGTTGCTGGGGATAACGAAAATTATTTTATATTTAAGTGTAAAGATTAAAAATATCAATGAAAGTGCAAATTAAATTAAGAATTGGGGTTTAAAAATTACACTACAAGATGAAAGATATATTGATGGGGTGAATACAAAGTAATTACTAATTAGTTGGTTCGAGATAGGTGGAAGAGTTAGATCGATAAGGTCAACTCTAATTGAGTTAGTTGATTAGATGATTCAGAAACTACAAGATTATAAATTTGATTTTATGTGAGAGTTATCTATTGATCTTTCTTAATTTGAGCATGTTAACTATATACAACATAGGTAACACTCGTGTGAGACCGTCTCACGAGTCTTAATTTGTGAGACATATTGAATCTTTGATTAACGGGCCAAATATTTGATTAATGGGTAAGATCTTTGACCTCATTAATCAAAGATCGACCCGTCTCACATAAATCTTTATCGTGCAACATATGTTGACCTATGTCATCATGATCCTATACTGACTAGAGTCACACTTAGAGCGCACATTCGAGTTCATTTGTTGGATATAATCACAATGTGGATTTTATCCATAGCGTACATGTATAGTAGGCAGGGTTAATTGATTCAAATTCGCGTCGAAGATCAAATGATTGTTGTACTAATCAATCACGAAGATCTTAGCAAATAAAACTTATTAACTTGTTTTATTTGGACTAACTGATTAGATTATTGGTCTTGTTTATATTATATCAACTGTGATTGGATTAGATTTATTGAGTATCATATATATATATATATATATATATATATATATATATATATATATATTAAAAGATACCAACAATTATTATTATTATCTAAGTAACTAGTATTTTCACCCGTGCGTTGCACGGAATGAATTTGTTATAATATATTAAGAATATTTGAGTCGTTATACAATTATTTAAATTATAACATAAAATATTATATAGTGCAATTGAAGATATGATTTAGATGGTTTATGTTTGTTGATGCTATCATTACTTGATAATTGCTTAAATTAATAGCTAATGTGTAGATGTAGGCATGCGGTGCTGTAACTTTAGAGATTTTATATATCATTGTTTAAGATTTTTATAAATTAAGCAAATGTGATCTGCCAATCTTGTGATGATGAGCCGCGTCCCATTACAAATACCAAGAGAGTGAACAATGTTCCACAATAACATAACAGGTGCACCGACCTTTAATGTCAATGAATGATGAATGATTAGGAAGACCCGACAATCTCAAACTATCTAAGAATTCAGGAGTGTGTACTTCTGATAGATTTTCATTGTCTGATTTTGTCTTACACAAAGAGTTACAAATTAAATATGTTTGTCCTTTTACAGTATTCATGTCGCATATGTACTGATTAGTTTGATCAACGACATCTAAAGTCGGCGAGAGGATCGCTTGGCCTTCTAGCTGTGACTCATCAAGCATGTCATATCTCGATGTGATTGAGTTGGAGGGACTCATCTATCCTTAACTAAATGTCAATGATTTGATCTTAAAGTTTGAGTATGGAGCAACTTTAAATTTTAAGAAGATTAGTAACGCAAATTATGATGTGCATCCGTATGCACCATGCATGGTGCATACAGATGCAAAAACGACGTCGTTTTGGTTAAAAAACGTGCGTCCCACTTAAAAAAGAAATCAGGTTCGATTCCCGGCAATAACATTTTTATATATTCATAAATTCATAACTATATATCCACAGTGAATGAATGAACTAAATATCCACAATGAATTAACTAAATAACCACAATGATTGAACTAAATATCCACAATGAATGAACTAAATATCCATAAATTCATAACTATATATCCAGAAATTCATAACTATATATATCCACAGTGAATGAATGAAGTAAATATCTACAATGAATGAATTAAATATCCACAATGATTGAACTAAATATCCATAAATTCATAACTATATATCCAAATATTCATAACTATATATCCATAATAATGCTATTGTCGAGAATCAAACATGATTTTTTTTTTTTTTTTTTTAAGTTGGACACACGTTTTTAGTCAAAATGATTTCGTTTTGCATCGTATGCACTATGCATGGTGCATTCGGTTGCACAACATAACTATCGGATTAGTAATGTGTCCGACGGTAGAAATGAGATGTTAAAAAAAAAAAAAGAGTAGAGAATATTATTGAAGGGTATAGTAGATGTAGCACTTTTCATTAATAAATACTCCGTAATAATTAGTGCAGAATATTCAAACACTAAACTCCATTTCTATTCCCGACGGCACGTTTCTTGTCTACTACAGTATTATTGGCCAGCCGTAGACTTCCACTGAGATTTGGCCAACCTTAAATACATGATTATGACGCAAAAAGTAATGTATATATCTTGCCGCAAAAGAATAAACGATTCGATGAAGTAAAAATCACAAATTTAATTTTTGTTAGCTTCTTCTTAGAATCTTAGTCGAATTTATAACATATGAATTGTGTAGTTTGTGCCGCACGAGCTTAGCTCAATGGTTCAGTAAACAATATTTGAAAGAAGATTATTATTTGAACTTCGGTGACATGCGCACCAACATTTAACTCTGTCTGCTGAGTCATTAAATCTCAGGAGTCCATATTTATGTGATGATTGACATTTGACTCTGTTTGCTGAGCCATAAAATATTGGAGGCCCACATTGGAGTAATGACGGTAGATTTTTCTCTTCAAAAAAATTATATCATTTTTTTTTGTGTGGGTGTTTAATTTAATTGGTACTCAGTATTTATTATTTTTAATTACTTGCCGATTTACCATTTAATATATATAAGGTAATGAATAAATATTATGAATTTCTATGTTAGGCAACCTCCACGCGCCAACCTCCACGCCTCTTCCACCATTCAACCAAGGAGACCGCTGTTCTTCAGCGCTGGAAGTGTGTTTCATTACTGACCATGTATTGTATACAATAAGTGTAGTAGTGTGTGTGTATATATATATATTCTCGGAATCTGTTTAAACTTCTGAAATAAGAAAATTACCAGGATTTGTTCTACGTAATTATCTGTTCATTTGTTGTCGTAATCATCGTAGATTACACGATCTTTCTTCGAAATCGCTGCGCACAGATTGTCAAAGCCTGTCGACGACTTACGGTACTTTATGTAATTATTATATATATATATTTGTGAAAACATTATATTGCATTGCGTGGCGGTAGAAAATTTCATCTCCTCCGCAACACCCTCAGCCATCTGCGGTGGAGGAGCTACTTGGTCCTGGCGGCTGAGACGCAGGTTCATAAGATTCCGTCTGGGCCAGTATAAGGCGCTTTCTGGGTGGAATCTAGGACGGTCCCAGGTATGTTGTTTGCGTTAAAGTTGTGGTTTTTGTTTTTCTGGCTGGTATGTTGTTTTTGGGTATCAAGATATGATCCAATCTGTAAAAGGTTTAAGGTTGTTGTGTTCGTTGGTTTGCCAGCGCATAGGTTATTGGTGCCTGGAAAAGGCTGTCGCTTGTCATCATGGTATCTGTGACTATGTTGAGATTTCAGTTGGGCATTCTGGCATGATTAAGTGGAATCTGACTTTTTAAAGCTTTTGGTGAAATGCTTATTCTCTTTTTGAGTTTTTGCTAGTTGTCTTGTTTTGAATCTGTGTCCTTTCCTTTTAGTCTTCTATGATTTCTTCTTGAAATGATTGTAGAACAATGATTCCTTTGTTTATATCCCCCCCAAAAAGGTTGTTTTTTTCATTGTCTTTCGAGCTCCACTGTTGTATTGTTCACTGGTTATTCAAGCTTCCATCTTTTTGAGTTTTAAATAGTTTGTGATTGTTGTTAGATATAAATATAATTTATATTATGAATTGAATAGAAACCTAATCTCGTAGGAGCGAAAATCTTACAATTGTTAGATTGTGTTATGTAATTACTTGTTTTTTGTTTTTGTTTTTGCACTTTCCAGATAGCAGACTGGTTGGGAATGAAGATGGAGAATAGCATGATGTCCTCTTCTTCAGGTTCTTGGATTGGATCGCTTTCTTGTTCTGGCCCGGAGGAGGACGTGTCTGTTTCGTTGGCAATCAGATGGCTGAGATTCATCTTCCTTTCTCCATGTCCTCAGAGAACTCTGTTGTCTGCCGTTGATATCCTGTTCCTTCTTACTCTAGTTGTCTTTGCAATCCAGAAGCTCTATTCTAAGTTCAGTTCTGATAGGCAGCAATCCAATGGATCGAGCAATGGGATTGAAAAGCCTCTCATCGAAAGCCAAAGAGTTCGAGTTCAAACGGATGTTTGGTTTAAGTTATCCCTAATTCTTTCGGCTATTCTAGGAATTGCTTCTCTAGCGTTATGCATTTTCACATTTAGCAGGAGTAGCTCATCTTCATGGTATGTCGTAGATGGGCTATTTTGGCTGTTTCAAGCAATAACTCATTTAGTCATCACTGTTCTAATCGGTCATGAGAAAAAATTCCAAGCTGTAACTCATCCGATGACCCTTCGTCTGTTCTGGATTGCAGACTTTATTGTAATTACCTTGTTCTTAGGCTCGGGGATTACTCGTGTAGTCTCAGGACAAGAAAGTGATCCTAATTTGATGTTGGATGATATAAGTTCATTCGTGGCGTTTCCCATTTCACTCGTTCTTCTGATTGTTGCTGTGAAAGGATCAACTGGAATAACAGTGACAAGGGATTCTGAATCAGAAGGGGATGATGAGGGGCAAGAATATGAAACTGTTCTGGGGAAATCCAATGTGACTGGCTATGCTTCGGCCTCGCTCCTATCCAGAACGTTTTGGATTTGGATGAACCCGTTGTTGAGGAAGGGCTACAAGGCACCGCTAAAGCTCGATGATGTTCCTACACTTTCACCCGAGCATCGAGCCGAGAGAATGTCAGAGCTTTTCGAGAGGAATTGGCCTAAACCCGAGGAGAACTCGAAGCATCCTGTCAGAACCACATTGCTTCGTTGCTTCTGGAAAGAAGTTTTACTCACCGCTACCCTTGCAATCGTAAGGCTGTGTGTGATGTACGTCGGGCCATTGCTCATCCAGAGGTTCGTTGATTACACGTCGGGGAAGAGGACATCTCCTTACGAAGGATACTACCTCGTTGGCACCCTCATGGTTGCCAAATTCGTCGAAGTTTTGACCTCTCATCACTTCAATTTCAATTCCCAGAAGCTCGGGATGCTCATCCGGTCCACACTCATCACCTCGTTATACAAGAAGGGCTTGAGACTCACCTGCTCGGCTAGACAGGATCACGGGGTCGGGCAGATAGTAAACTACATGGCGGTCGATGCTCAGCAATTGTCCGATATGATGCTGCAGCTCCACGCTGTATGGCTTATGCCCGTGCAAGTTTCCATAGCTTTAGCCATCCTATATCTTAACCTCGGAGCCTCAACAGTCGTAACGCTGGTTGGACTTGTTGCGGTTTTGCTATTCGTCGTGCTTGGCACTCGAAGGAACAACAGGTTCCAGTTCAATATCATGAAGAACCGCGATTCGAGAATGAAGGCGACGAATGAGATGCTTAATTACATGCGTGTCATAAAGTTCCAGGCCTGGGAAGATCATTTCAACGAGAGAATACAATCGTTCCGGGATATAGAATATGGGTGGCTATCTAAGTTTATGTATTCGATTGCTGGGAATTTGATCGTTCTGTGGAGCACTCCATTGCTCGTGGCTACACTCACATTCGGAAGCGCGATTTTGATGGGGATTCCACTCGATGCTGGGACAGTATTTACAGCAACTGCGCTCTTTAAGATGCTGCAGGAGCCTATCAGGTCCTTTCCACAATCCATGATCTCTCTTTCACAGGCGATGATATCTCTCGAGAGATTAGATAAATATATGATCAGTAAGGAGTTGGCTGACAAGTCGGTGGAAAGAGGGGAAGGCTGTGGGGATGGAATTGCGGTGGAAGTGAAAGATGGCACTTTTAGTTGGGACGATGAACGAGGCGAAAAAGTACTGAAAGATGTAAATTTCGAAGTTAAGAAAGGCGAACTTACAGCTGTAGTTGGGACGGTTGGATCTGGGAAATCATCTCTTCTAGCATCAGTTCTTGGCGAGATGCACAAGCTCTCAGGGAAGGTATGCTCACTCTTTAGTCTTTATCATTAGTTTGATCAATGAGCACAATGGCTCTGTTTGACAGAACTTATTTAGGAGCTTATAGCTTTTCAGCTTTTAGCTTAGCAGAGCTTATTTAGGAGCTTATAGCTTTTCAGCTTTCAGCTACCTTTTCAGCTAGGTTTGCCAAACATATAGCCAATGTAACACACATCACAACATTTTTTTTTCCCAGGTAGCTACTAATCTATGTTTCTTTAATGTCATTTTAACAGGTAAGAGTTTGTGGTTCAACTGCCTATGTTGCGCAAACATCATGGATTCAGAACGGGACCATACAAGAGAACATCCTATTTGGTTCACCAATGAATCGCCCGAGATACGAGGAAGTCATCAAGGTTTGCTGCCTGGAAAAAGATCTCGAGATGATGGAGTACGGAGATCAGACCGAAATTGGAGAGCGTGGTATTAACCTCAGTGGTGGCCAGAAACAGCGAATTCAACTTGCAAGAGCTGTATATCAGGATTGCGACATTTACCTGCTCGATGATGTCTTCAGTGCTGTTGATGCTCACACTGGTTCCGAAATCTTCAAGGTATCTCGATCGTTCTACTTTCAAGGTTGTTATACTCTATTGATAACTGTTTTTTTTGTAACGATCGAGAATATACCTGACAGTTGGAAGATTGTTTTTGCAGGAATGTGTAAAGGGCGCCCTTAAAAATAAGACGACTATACTGGTTACACATCAAATCGACTTCTTGCATAACGTTGATCTTATCCTCGTAAGTATTCAATTCCTTACTGGAATGCTCAATATTGTTGAGCATATAACCATTAATGTGCAATCCAACTATCAGCTTAGGCTTTTAGTTGAGATGGAGCACATGCTTCAATTAATATCATTGCCAAATTTCGTGTATTTTTATGTCTTATTGGCATTTGGTTCACGAACCAGGTGATGAGAGACGGGATGATTGTGCAATCGGGAAAATATAACGATCTGCTAGAATCCGGCCTGGATTTCAAGTCACTAGTAGCTGCTCACGAGTCGTCCCTAGAACTAGTTGACGTTGAAACCACTTCGGGCAGCAAAGATTCACCTGGGATGGAAAAAACGAGACAAAGGTCATTTAAACAAGGCGATGAAAACGAGGATGTAGCTCAGCAGCAATCCGAGGGTGGCACGGGAGGTTCTAAGCTGATAAAGGAAGAGGAACGAGAGACGGGAACTGTCGGTTTCCATGTTTACAAATTATATTGCACCGAGGCTTTTGGATGGTGGGGTGTAGTGGGAGTTGTGTTTTTATCATTGTTTTGGCAAGGGACTCAAATGGCAAGCGATTATTGGTTGGCTTATGAAACCTCTGAGGAACGCTCGTTCAATCCTTCTTTGTTTCTTGAGGTATATGGTATCATTGCGGTTGTGTCTGGTTTGGTGGTAGTTGTGAGAATGTACTCCATCACGCTTATGGGGCTCAAGACTGCTCAAATATTCTTCGGGCAAATTCTCTACAGCATACTGCACGCTCCAATGTCGTTCTTCGATACCACACCTTCCGGAAGAATTCTCAGTCGGGTAACGTTGTAAACCGAGTTTTCGCTTTAATTTCCAAATGCTATGATTTTATTTGGTTTCTGTCACCTGATATGGTATAAATTTTCGAGAACCAGAGACTTATGTGAACTTTTATTTGGTGCGAACAGGCTTCGAATGATCAGACCAACATCGATGTTTTCCTCCCGTTCTTTATGAATCTCACTTTGGCCTTTTACATCACACTCATTGGCATCATCATCATGACATGCCAATATACTTGGCCGACTGTCGTACTTCTGATTCCTCTCGGTTGGCTAAACTTCTGGTGCCGGGTAGGGATATGGATATTCTCGTTTTGGATATCTTATGGTTTCAACTTCTTGAGTTTTATTGAATATATCAATGTATTTTGGGTTTCAGGGATACTTTCTTGCGACCTCCCGGGAATTGACCAGGCTAGATTCGATTACGAAGGCACCCGTTATCCATCACTTCTCTGAAAGCATTGCGGGCGTTATGACCATTCGTTGCTTCAGGAAGCAGGAAGGGTTTTCTCAAGAAAATGTCACTCGGGTTAATGAGAACTTGCGTATGGATTTCCACAATAACGGGTCCAATGAATGGCTAGGGTGCCGGTTAGAAATGATTGGAAGCTTCATACTTTGCATCTCTGCAATGTTCATGATTGTTTTGCCCAGCAGTATCATCAAGCCAGGTATTAATGCATTCTAGCCTAATATTCTTAGCCAAATTAGATTCTTCTGCCATAATTTGAAGTACTAGTTTCTTCTCTGTTGTGCAGAAAATGTTGGGTTATCTCTGTCGTATGGATTGTCCCTCAACGCCTCGCTGTTCTGGACTATATTCATAAGCTGCTTCGTGGAAAATAAAATGGTTTCGGTTGAGAGGATCAAGCAGTTCACCAACATACCATCAGAGGCAGAATGGAGAAAGAAAGATCTTCTTCCCCCTCCAAACTGGCCCTCCAAGGGAAACGTTGAGCTCGAAAACTTGCAGGTGAGTTTTCGGTTTTAAACTGTTGATCATATAACCATTAATGTGCAACCCAACTATTAACTTAGGCTTTTAGTTGAGATGGAACACATGCTTCAATTTGATATCAAAGCCAGACCAAAGCTCAGGGTTTGAATCTCTACGATACGCGACCCAACTATCAGCTTAGGCTTTTAGTTTCATTCTTACGGTTTGCTGTTTTTATGAATCTTGTTATTTGAATCCAATGAACAGGTGAGATACCGCCCGAACACCCCTTTGGTTCTGAAAGGCATTACTCTCAGCATTGAAGGGGGCGAGAAGATAGGTGTTGTGGGGCGAACCGGGGGTGGAAAATCCACTCTGATCCAAGTGTTCTTCAGGCTGGTGGAGCCTGCAGCCGGAAGAATAGTCATTGATGACATTGACATTTCCGTTTTAGGCCTTCATGATCTTCGTTCCCGCTTTGGAATCATTCCTCAGGAGCCCGTTCTTTTCGAAGGAACCGTGAGGAGCAACATAGACCCCATTGGACAGTACTCAGATGAAGATATCTGGAAGGTAATTAAGTAATTAACTAATTATATTGGAATTGGCAGCTAAGCTCCCATGTTCTTGTCTACAATTTCTGTGACAATTCCTCTGATCATTGAGATATTACGTTGCAGAGCCTCGAACGGTGCCAGCTTAAAGACGTCGTGGCCTCAAAACCCGAGAAACTCAACTCTCCAGGTATGTTTTTTTTTTTTTTTTTTTTTTTTTTTTTTTTCATTTTCGTTTCTGCCTTGACATAATATGAACAAGTTCTTAGTGTTTTCGATCTGCACTCCGGTTTCCAGTTGTTGACAATGGAGATAACTGGAGCGTCGGGCAAAGGCAACTTCTTTGCTTGGGAAGAGTAATGCTAAAACGAAGCCGGCTTCTGTTCATGGATGAGGCTACGGCTTCCGTGGATTCACAGACGGATGGCGTGATTCAGAGGATCATCCGGGAGGACTTCGCTTCCTGCACAATAATCAGCATTGCTCACAGAATACCAACCGTCATGGATTGCAACCGAGTTCTGGTTATAGATGCAGGTTAATAATGCACTTTTTTTTTTTTTTTTTAGTGTTTTGTATGTTACTATGTAACTGTTGAAACACATCCCGCGATTTCTGAGGGCTCGGTTTCTTGTGTTTTCGTGAGCAGGAAGAGCCAAGGAATTCGACAGGCCATCGCGGTTGCTGGAGAGGCCATCGCTCTTCGGGGCTTTAGTTCAGGAGTATGCTAACAGATCATCTGAACTGTAGATCAGCTATGATGGGAGACAATTTTCTTCTGCTAAAATGACAATAACTCCCCAAGAGCCTCTCGGGCAGGAGTATCGAATCTTAGTTGTAGAATTATGTTGGAATCTTGGATTGATACCTAGGACGATGCATGGGATTTATGATGTTCTTTACAAATACTGTTTACCAGTGAGATAAGCTCGTGCGGGCAAATGCATATGGTATGTAGCATAGTGTGTACAACTGCTTCTTGTTGCAGAAGTGGAGAAAACAGAATCCACATATTTATTGTATGGAGTATTATGTCTACATTTGGATAGCTTCATTGCACTCTTTTAAAAGTTTTGAAACTTTTTTTGAAAGCAAACGAATGCAATATATTAAACTTTTTCGAAACTTATTTGACTTAAACTGAAATTACTGTAGAGTAAATATCCAAAATGGTCCCTTGACTATAGTTAAATTCACAAATTGGTCATCGACTTTCAATTTCAACCAATTAAGTCCTTAATTTTGTAATTTTAACACAATTTGGTCATCTGTCTATTTGACCGTTTGTTGATTGTGAATCAAGCTCTTAACAACAAATGATTGCGGATGTTTATTTACAAAACTGATTGATGAGAATATGTACTCTATAATAATAAATAAATAAATATGTATTCTCTCAATCTCATTTTGTTTGTCTTATTGATTTAATGATGTTTGATTGAAGTTATTTTTTATTTAATTTTACATGATACTAATAAGTTATAAAATTTATATATTTAAAAATTACATTAAAAGCATTATTAAATACTTAAACACATTAAAATTCACATATTTAGAAACTACATTAAAAGTTTTCTTTTTGTTTTAAAAAAAATACTACTAAACACAAAAAATCAAATTTAAAATTAACTAAAAATTTCTTTAAAAAAAAGCAATTAAGCAGACTATATACTTTTATACATATTGAACGATTCATTAAGGATTAAGGTGGTGCTAAACTGCTAATTGAACTCATCCCCATCGTGAATAGTGGTCCACACAGCTGTGTGAATTACAATTCTCGTTTTGTTTAATTTTTTTTGCGCATCGAGCTGTAACATACAATTTTATAATTTATAATGTACATTATTTTAAAGCATATGATACATTATATTACTTCATTAATTTCATTCGTAATGTACATTATTCTAACACATAATATACATTATTTTTTTTTTTTGGTGTGAACCATACATTGTGGTCCCGGTTGTGGTCCAGGTCTTTCTCTGTCCGTTTAGGAACAGAAGCTGACCCAAAGGGGATCATCACTTGTGAGAATTGAACCCGGGTTATCCCCATAATATTTACAATGTTATTTTGGACCATGGTCCAGACAGCTGTAATTTGTCCATCCCCATGCTGTTGGCTTAATTCATAATAAACATAAACTTTTAACATAATACACATCAACTTTTAACATAATACATAAAAATTTCCTGATTCGGATGTACATAAGTGTATAAAAAATGTACATAATTGTATAAAAAATGTACATAATAAAAAATATACATAATTGTATGAACAAATATACATAATCACAGCAACTTTCTACTGCGCCTCCCAAAACGACGTCGTTTTGGGAGGCGCGGCGCACAGTGCTACGCGCGCCGTGGTGTAAGGTATAACGATTGCTGGACCGTGGAGGCATCAGTGTGGATACAGGTTTCGCGTCTAATACTAGTCTTTGTTATTTTGAAATGGATGGACCAACAAATATTAAACCATGGGTTTCATTAAAGGAGTTTAGAATGTATTATGATTTAATTTGGAATTTTGAGACTTTATTATAATTGATGGACAAATTATACCATGTTGATCTTACGTTATGAATTTTGATTCAAAATGATATTATAAATTTTCAATTTTGATGCATTATTTTTATTAGTTTTGGTCATTTCGATCAAATAGACGGTTAAATGTTGTCAGGTTTTATATTTTAGGAGTAAAATTGTCATTTTAAGAAAAGATCTTCAATATCTAAATTAAAGAATCATATTAAGAGAAAAAGAAGAATTTGTCCATCGTCGACGACTCGACACTATAAATCTCATAGATCTGTGTCTAGTTTCTGCCCGTCTTCCACTATTCCCCATTATTCTCATCGATCAAACGCATGTAGATATAATTTTATAGTGAATTTGTTTAGATATTGAATATATTTTCATAGGATGACGATTTTACTTCTAAAATATAAAATTCGGTAATATTTTACCGTCAATTTATCCGAAAGAATCAAAATTGATAAAAATAACAATATTACGCACTAAATTTATTTTTTTTAAAAAAAGTTATACACTAAAAGTGATAAAATTTCAAAAATCGCAAAACAAAAGTGAAATTAATTCTTGATAAAAAAAAAAAAAGTGAAATTAATTCTTTATGCCTAAATAATGTCACTCTCAAAAAGAAATTGGGATTTGGGAAGGTTATCGATTGACATAAACCCTAACCCTAAACCCACTTCCGCCTTCCAGCGCGCAGAGAAAGATGGGGAGGTCGCGAAGGAAATACAAGAGTTCAAGAGCAAAGGTGAGAGTAGGATTGCCAAAGAAAAACCCGCACATATTCAAACCGGCGTTCAATCTGCCGCCGAAGCTCCGGTCTCTCCTGGATCCTCACTCACAGTGGGACGAAAAGGGCAGCGTCATCGAGAATTACAAGTCCTTCGGCGTTGTTTCCAACCCCAACTTGCTCGGCGTCCGCTCTCGCACCTCCCACATCGTCGAAAGTGACTCTCTTCAGGTCCCGCCGCCCGCTTCCGCCGATGACGCCGACTCTAACGCCGAGTTCCAGCCTCTCGATTCCGGCAGCGACCTCGAGGAAGACGGTCAGTCTAAACTTTCTATCATCGCTATTGTATTCTCTGTTTGTGTGTTTGCATTTATATGTTGCTTGCTAATTAATCAAGAGGATGAAAGATGCTTTAGTTCCTGGTGATGATTAAACCTAAATCTTAATTGTTTAGATTATTCAATCGAAAAGAGTTATCTGTTCTAAGAACTCTGATTAAACTGCAGATCTATCACTAACAGTTCCAATTATATCACAATTCCTTTGAGATGTGATGACAATCATGATATTGTCAAGTAATCAGTTTGAAGTCACTTTGCAGTGTATCCATTGTACTAAGGAGTTGTGGGAAGACATCCTATGAAATATGAATGCTGGTTTGAATAAACATAATTGCCAAATAAAATTACAAATTCAGACTGTAAATAGCTTAATCTGCAAATCTGTTTGTTACCATTGTTGGCATGCTTCTCCCCTGTTTTCATAACTTTTGTCTTCTGGCTTCCCCTTTCATAGCCATAGTTTAGATATCACAATATCACACCAATGTTGCATAAATTCATGGTTCTTGTAGTGTACTAACAATGTTTGGAGATTTACAGACCTGAAGTCTGCACTTGGAAAGAAGCGACGAGATGGGCAGAGTGCGCCTCCACAACCACTAACAGCCATGCAACGGGTTTATATTCGCAAACTTGTGGAGGAATATGGAGACGACTACCAGGTATGAAGTGCCTTTGACATCCTTTATCACTCACTTACTAGCTCTGTCTTTCTCTTAGTGGAAACGTTTTTTTTTTTCCTTTCCCTCTTTGGTTGCAGCGCATGTTCATGGACACGAAACTGAACAAGATGCAGCATTCGGTAGCAACGCTAGAGAAACTATGCAAAAGATACCACATGTACCAAGATAAAAATCCCTTGATTGTGGGTAGTTGAGTTGAGAACAAATCTTGTACAATTCAACACATTGCCCCAATGGATTGAACAAATGAGTTTAGACACATGATGAGGGATGTCTTAGCTTTACATATTTCAAAGGTTTCTTTGTAGATGACAATATTCTATTACTGTTTCAGTTTAAGATATTGTGTGGATGATGCCATTTTGATTAGGGTATTTACTTGATCTTGTTCTTGTATAACCTCTAAACGAACTATGAACCTGGCTTATAGTTCTAGTATACTTTTTATCTCGTTTTATGTGTTTAGTGACAAGTAAAATAAGACATAGGCTCGAACCATTGCTGTGGAACCTAAAGGACCTTCTCAAGCAAAATGCATAATGGTTTAAGACCATCCGACACTACAAAAAAATTTGCACCATGAACAACTTGTCTGTCATCCAATTTGTACATTGATTGGCCATTCACATGTATTGATTGACTTCTCAATGGAGGTTCTGGAACACTCAATTATCCATATTATAAACCTTCCTCGAAGCCACCAAAAAATAGTAAATCGTTCTCTAACTCAATATAGTGTCCGAGTTAACCCTATATAGGGTCCTCTGAATATAATGATTTTGTCATATTTAGTCCTAAACTTTTTTCAAATTGACCACTTGTGGTCATTCCATTTTACATCATTATCATTTGTGGTTCAAATTAACCACCTATAGTCTTTCAACTTTTAAAATTTAATCAGTTGCGGTGATGTTAGTCAAATGACCACCCAAATTGAGAAGTTTAGAATTAAACGTGACAGAACTATTATACTCGAAGGTCTCCGGATAGTATTAACTCCATGGCGGCAAATTATGTTGTGCATCCGTATGCACCATGCATGGTGCATACGGAAGCAAAAACGACGTCGTTTTAATAAAACGCGCGTCTCCCCTTAAAAAAAAAATCAGGTTCGATTCCCAGCAACAACATATGAACTAAAATTCCATAATTGGTAAACTATAATTCCATAATCGATGAACTATAATTCAATAATCTAATCTATGAACTAACAATTCCAGAATGAATGAACTAAAATTCCATAATCTATAAACTAAAATTTCAGAATCGATGAACTACAATTCCATAATCGATGAACTATAATTTCATAATCAATGAACTATAATTCCATAATCTATGAACTAAAATTTCAGAATGAATGAACAATATAATGTTGTTGTTGGGAATCGAATCTGAATTTTTTTTAAAGGGGAGACGCGCGTTTTTTAATAAAACGACGTCGTTTTGGCATCCGTATGCAGCATGGTGCATGGTGCATGGTGCATACGGATGCACAGCATAACGATCCCTCTATGGCGTCCTATTTATAAAGTAAGGAAATATTAACATATTTCATTTTCTGTAGATTAAGCCCAATTACAAATATGATTTTTTTTGAAGCTTATAATGCGAAAAAAGTATTTTTATCATAAAAGCCCACCGGCCCACGTTCTACCCCGCATTTCATCGCCTCTATTATCACCGTCGCGTCGCGTTCCTCTTCGGACTTCAATCGACAGTGACCGGATTTCAAAACCCTACTCTGTAAACCCTCT